TGAAAGATCCAAAGAGAATAGCTTTTACGACGATAAGGAAATCGAGTCGCATTATAAATTTTAATGAATGCGCCGAAAAGTGTCGCTGAGGGAGAGAGGCTAAAATAAAGAATTGCGAGTGGGGGGGTTGAACGCTTTGATGCCATGTCGAAGTGATGACTTCGTTAAAAAGTATCTCTGTGTCGAAAAGTTCTGTCAACAATTAACGTTTCAATTAGTTCATTGGCATGGAAATGGGGTGACAATAAAAAAAATTTTGTTCAAACTTCTCCTGAAATCAAAAAAGTTCAAGAAAAATATTCCTGAACTTAGTAATGCTACGCATGACAGAGCGCCAGGATTATTCATATAAATAAATATCATAAAGGATTGATGGATTATTGAAAATTGTAAAAATGCTCATTCAAAAATACTAGTAAACGAGAAAACTAAGATATTATCGTATCAATTGAAAAAGAGCTGACTTCCACAAATAACATTTTAGGGTTTTGATAATGGGAAATATATGCGGCACGAAACAACGAGTCTACGGCCACGTCATTACATTTATTGCAGTCGCACCATGTAGTTTCGATTGACCGTACTAATTGGGGTACCAATCAAATTTCAATACAATGGAAAAAGCCCGATTTCAACCAAGTAAAATCCAGCTTCGCCGTTCGACACCTTTCGTAGTATATTATTCGTACACCTGTGCGCCAATACTTTCTGACCATTGCCTAAAACTGTCTTCAATCGACTTCGTCGGCCAGCCCGAAAAACACTAAGCTGAGTTGCATTCGAGTCTGCAAAAAGCGATATGCATTGAAACAAGGTCATTCGTATTCGTAATGGCTAATGAATTTGCTTAAAGCTAATGGCTCCATGAATATTCAATGTAATCTGTTTATACATATAATACGACGGACGCTCCTGTAATTCATCATTTTTGCAATACACGTAAAAACGTCGCAGCCATCTCCGAGTTGCGGACTACAAAAATAAATTAAAAAGAAACTTGCACACATAAAGCTTTGGTAATGCCAACCGGACATGCGGGTATGCAGAAAATCAGTTTGCAGACAGAGAATGTCGGTGGTAGGACTTAGTGTAATTGAAGTGCCTCGGTGGAAAGAGAAAGGCAACACGATTTCAGAACTTGAGATTGTATTGTAGAACAGCATTTAGAGAAAGAAGGTAAAAGTCAAGCAAGGATAATAAGAATAAAGTCTCTTGGTCGGCTCTTCTTTTGTTCGTTTCGTTGCATCCCGAGAACAACTCTCCACGCGCAATGCAATACATTACCAGCCGGGTGCATTGCACCACCGCCGTCACTGCCACCGCCGAAGACACCAGCGCCCCCCGCCCTACCTCCAACTGTCTCCAGAACTTAAACTTATATAAGTCGAGGCCGACGGCGAATGGATTTGTTTTTGGCTGGCTTTCCGCAATAAAGACTTTTCTGTTCTTACCCCTTCCAATCCGCCGTTCACTCACTCCCCTGCACCACTCTTACCAAGGATACTTCAACTTATTTACGTAGACATAAAGAACTATCTAGCTTGGCTTCCTGCAACTTCTAGATCTCCATACTGGCAGCTTCAGATTTATATACAGGGTGTTCGTTACGTGCGCACATACATACGTGCAGCCAACGGAATACAGGGTATAGTCCTATACATATATATATACAGGGTGTTCGTTATGAAACACACTGTAGTAACATCGTTGCATTCCTTGTCAAATTCTAAAGAATACGTGTATTTTCATTTTTTATTTCATATATCAAAATTTCGAGATAATCAAGGTTGAAGTTGCAGTAATGCGACCAATCAGAACGTGTTTAAACTCTTAGTGTTATTGGCCTACTGTAAGCTGGCCTTGCGGGCTGGCTCTGGACGTCATCTACGCTCCGTTTAAACACGTTCTGATTAGTCGCATAACTGCAACTTCAACCTTGATTATCTCGAAATTTTGATATATGAAATAAAAAATGAAAATACACGTATTCTTTAGAATTTGACAAGGAATGCAACGATGTTACTACAGTGTGTTTCATAACGAACACCCTGTATATATATATGTATAGGACTATACCCTGTATTCCGTTGGCTGCACGTATGTATGTGCGCCGTTGACGAATGACCTTGATTCATTAGGTATACCATACGAATGACTGGATGCGTTTCTGTCATTTACGAAAAAGTTCGGAATTGCCAGGATTTGTGCAAATAATGTTTTATTCCTTTCCCCCCTCTTTTTCCGTATCTTTTCTTTTTCATCCTCGTAATAGCTCTTTTGGAGTGTCGAGCTGGAAGTTTCCCGCGAAGCAAAGAAGGCTCCTTTTGGCTGGCTATTGTCTGGCAGGATTCCATTGTTCCAAGGGACCGAGAAAATATTCTTCGAGGATGGTTTATTGCGCGGTGAAGTTCCGCTAACGGGTTCGCAGGGAAAGGAAAAGGACTCTGGAAGAACCTGCCAGGGACAGTTAGTGGAATTTTCAGTTTACGTCCGCATTCACTTGGCACCATATCCTATAATTGTCATTCTACACGGTCTGAGGAATTGAATTATCTTTTTGATTTTTATCGTGGTTTCTTTTACTCAGTCATACGGCCCAGACGCAACATTCAAGTTAGGGCGTTCATTCGAATCCTATGGTAAAAGCATTTTCGGGCAGGAGTACGTTTGGATTGAATAACCGCGTATACGTTTGAGCAATTTTTTTTAACGGAATTAAATATATTTAAACAAGGGGACACGGTACTCTGTGAATTTGGTGAATGACAGTATATACATTTGATTACGGATAATCATTAATATTTTAATTACTTTTCGTTCAATACGACGTTATCGCTCGTGGTTTATATTTGCCCCAGATTTACTTCCGCAAATCTAATTCGTACACATAGGTAATGCGCTGGCTTCCATATGGGACGATCCCGCAGATTGCACTTCGATTTGGATTTTCAATTTAACTTCGTCACATAATTAAAGCTATAGTTTTTGGATAGACCAAAATTTCAGTTTGCGAGTAACACATCGATATCTATAATATATAACACTTAATTGAATAATATTTATTGAAAATACTGTTAAATGATGTGTTCGTGAATAAATAGTTTTCATTTTCTACTGTACGTCATGCACAAGATAAACTGAACGAGAATAAATCGTGTGTTAACGACGGTTGCCAAAGAAAAAAAAGGACAGCAAACGGTAAATGTCTGGAAATCTACTGGTTACCATTGATTAACATTGGCAAAATGCCAAAGTCCACAGTAATTTTTGCTAAGGGTTAGATCTGAATTTGGTTCGCAGGGATGCGTAATTAGAAGTTTTTATTGAACGGAAGAAAATTAATTAAATCAACATTTTGATTGGTGAAGAGTCAAAAGGTATTCGAGTAATTAATAAAAGTGATGATACTCTTTATCACCAAATAATATTCTCTGATGTCTCTCGGTCTCTGAATGGAGTCACTAGCTCACGTAATTTCGATAAACATTCTGTCAGATGAGATAAAATGACTCAAACTGTGAAGTAATCTTCAATTATAGTGGTTTGTACTCATGAAATTAACATGTTTATGGAAATCAGCTTTTCGCTTGATGCGACTAAAATTAATATCCTTATCATTAAAACAATGTAACATCGTATAAATATAGCACGTAAAGTCTGAAGCAATGGAGAACTAAATTTATCACTGCAACCTTCGAAATTATGAAGATTAACAGCGTGAAAGAAAATCATAGTTCATGCTTGTATTCGAAGGCTGAATTAAGATAATATAAAAATAATTGAAAAAGAACCTCGTTTTCCTCCAATTTACCTATAAATGGATTTATATTCGGATATGATGTATTCAAATGTACAATACTTCGCAAGGCTGCGTCTTATGAAGTAATTCAGAGTGTCACGTCGATAGGAACATTTCCTGATGGATAACGTATACTAGAGAATATAGGAAAATGCAATATACGAGAAAATAACGATAGTTTAGTTTAAGCAGAGGTGCGAATTTCCTCGAGGCAAATGGGTCGATCTCATACGAATACAGTTATGCAAATCCAAAAGGATCGCGAGTGCAGTCGTAAGACCGCGATATATTGCCTTATTCGCTGGTGTGATCCTTTGTAACCATGGGACCCTTGTAAACCCATAGAATCCAGCTTAAGATATCATCTAGAATATCCTTAGGAAGGTGATTTGTAGTTTTCAAATAAAAACTGTACCGCCGGTCTGTGAGAGAAAAATTCCAGTCTAATTAGGTATCAAAGAAAGAAACGTGCTAAAAATTCAATGCCCCATTGTTTATAGTTTCGCATACAAAAAAAAATGAACATCAATAAGCTTTCATCCTACGTAAGAGATGTTCTCTGGTTCTTTTAAAGTGAAAGTCATTCTTTACAGATTTAAGGGCATTTTCGAACGCTAAGCACGTATGGTGGGGCTGAAATTACAATTTCTGTAGAGCTTCCATTAAAGCGTAAAGAACGGGAGAGATTAGAGAAGGGCAAAATATTCACTGAGAGCATCTCGTGGCCCGAAGGACACTTCGTCATTTTGCGTGCGAGCTCATTAATATTTCGAATGCCGAAAATTAGAGCTTGCGAACTACGGAACTACACTTCGAGAATATCAGTTTGAACCGCTCATAAAGTCAGGCAGTTATAATTTTATATCCTAAGGCGAACAATTAATTTTACGACATTTTCCGTGGTCTCGGAATACTCTATATGTAAATGGAATGTACATTGCAGAAACCATTTTACAATGAAGTTCAACGTAAAGAAGTCCCTTATGTTAGATTTACGTGCGAAAGAGCTATATGTTTATATAATTCTATTTTGTAGATATATAGGAAAGCTATAAGAAATATAAATAATATTAGAATGTTAAACGCTGAATTGAAAATGTAATATCAATTGATTATTAAATTGCGAAGCTATTATAAATAATTAATACTAAGAAGTCTCCAAATTTATATAAAGTTTTATATGATTTTAGAAGGGACTCACCTGCATCGAAACATCCGCTACGCCCATAGATGATGTGGTGGTGGTGGAAGTGGAGCGGGCGGCAAGCCACGATCAAGAGTAACAAGAGAAGTGGGTGGATCAGGCATGGCGAACCTGAGTTTTTGCCAGAATAATTTTTCACCCCAAGAGAGTACGGTGTGGGTGGCCATGCGTTTTCGGAGATCCGCGTCGAGATCCTGAGGTCCTACACCGCCTACCAGTAGAAGAATAACCGAAGGACCCTTTTCTCGTAAAACATTTCTGAGGGCAGCTTTAAATTCGAAACGTGCCCATTCCCCGTGAAGGAAGTTCCTAGACAGAACGAGGATGGTACGTCTTGAGGAATCAGCAGCCTCGTTTACAGCATCGACGACACTACAACCGGAACCGAGATCACGATAATGTAGACACAGGCGATACGAGGATTCAAGACCAGGAGCCAAGGATCTGGAGACGAATGCTTCGTCCTTGGCTGAGTAACTGATATAGGCGTCGAAGGGTCTGTCACTTTCCTCGAAGGCAGCAGTCTTGTAGCATGCTCTTAGTCCACAACGACTTGCTGCCCATGCACGTAGAGCTCGGCGATGTCGGAGGGCGCCACAGAGAAGACCCACCAGAGTGAAGGATAATACTACCGTGGCAAGCAATAAAGGTATGTAACCTTGAAGTGGACGAGTTCCCACGGCGGGAGTGGCTCCAGAAAGAGCCGCACAATTTATTAGGGAACCATTCCCTATTGGGTTTAAGGGAGAGCCCAAGGCGCAGGAGACACGTGCCAAGTCCGCTACCTTAGCCTGGTGAAGGGACACCCACTCGCGGAATCGGGCCAAGTAGGAGCATTCGCAGCTCCATGGATTAGCGGCTAGGCCTATGTCCACTAGGTAGGGATTCTGGGCAAGTTGCCATACCGCGAAGGTAGTCAGTCGATTGCCCTCTAGACGCAGAACCTCAAGGCGCCTCAGAGTGAGGAAAGTCCCGTTGTCAATATGCACTAGAAGGTTGTTCTGCAGGTAGAGTTCCTTCAGGCTCTCCAGTGCCGTGAACTCGGAACCCTTCAGCGTGGAGATCTTGTTATTCTCGAGATGCAATACGGAGAGACGCCGCAGCCCGCTGAACGTGTGATTATGAACAGCCAGAATGTTGCTGTCGTTGGCGTAAAGAACTTCGAGATTCTTCCTGCCGATGAAGGCGTGAGAAGTCAGTTCACCGAAATCATTTCCGTCGAGATATACTTCGGTAGCGTCCATCGGCAGTCTTCCAGGCAGACTCGTGTATCCAGCTCGGGAGCAATCTACCACGTTGGCTGACCAGGACTGGTCGTGGTAACAGGTGCAATTGGCTGGACATGTCATTTCACAATCACAGGCATCGAAGTCGCAACAGTGACACAGGGCGAAGCAATGAGTCTTGTACGTACAAAGAAACTGGGAAGGCGCCACTTCCAGCAACGGTGCGAACGGTCTTCTTCTATCGTAAGGCAACCTACAATAGACTGAAGTCAGATCCATAACCTTTGGATGATGTCGTAGTGTCAAAGTGTTGATCCTTTGTAACCATTCCATAGTGCAATCGCATTGAAATGGATTTCCGCCCACGTAAAACTCTGGTAAAATCCTCTCGGACGGTACTGGTGCCAATTGCAAAGCGGACAATTCCATACTAACAATTTGATTAGCATAGAGATCCGCTCTTGAAAGATTGACCTTAGCTACAAAGGTGTGCGGCTCTACCGTATGCAATAAATTATCATTAAGAAAAAGTAATTCTAAAGAATCAGGCAGTGATGCAGCCGATATCCGAGTAATACGATTGAATGATGCGTCTAAAGTTTGAAGTGAAAGACCAACAGGAGCCATTCCAAGGTCATCTATAACGTTTTTACGTAGATCGAGCCACTGTAGTCCTCGTGGCAATAAATTATAATCAAAGTGTTCAATGAGATTATCAGAAACGTTCAGCCACAATAAACCCGGTGCATCCAGAAACACGCCACTGATATCCTGAAGTAAATTAGCATCCAGTCTTATAGCCTGTAAAGCCAGATTGGTGGAAAAGGCTCCAGTTTCGATCCTCTCAATCCTATTTCTGGCTAGATTGAGTATCTGAAGGGCAGGTAGCTCCGTGAGTGCCATCTTCGTGACGTTCACAAGCTCGTTCCCGATAAGTCGAAGACCATAGAGATTCGTCATCCCCCGAAATCCTGACTGCTCCAAAGTCCTGATTCGATTTTCCCCCAGGTCTATGGTTCTGAGCATTCTCATGTCATTCACCGCTGCGGGCACGCTGTCCAGGTTGTTTCCCGAGAGATTGAGATCTTGCATGCTCGAACAATTCCGAAATGCATCGGGATGTATCCCTTCCAGAAGGTTAGAATCCAGAGCCAATAAGGACAGTGCGAAGAGACCGTTCAGTGAATAGACATCCAAGTAAGTAAGTTTATTGTTTGTTAATACCAAAGTATGAAGGTTGCTCATGGGTGAGAACGTGTCGGCTGGTATAGACTCCAGCTCATTATCATGTAGATCCAATATCTGCACAGTGTATAGATCTTTGAACAGTACGGGATCCAAGGAAGCAATTTTGTTATGTGATAAGTCCAAGAGAACTAATCTTATCAGTCCCGAAAACGTGTTCGATCCGAACCACGTGCTCGTCAACGAATTCTTGGATAGGTCCAGAGTGACTAGCTGCTTAAGTCCTTCAAAGAGTCCAGGCGCCAGGACACTCAGGGAATTATTTTGAAGATGAATCTCAGTGATGGACTTGGAAGTATCCTTGAATAGATCAGCTGGTAATGCTACGACTTTATTATCGGACAAATCAAATATCTCTAAACTCCGCAACCCAGCCAGAGCTTTATCGTCGACCATATTAATTTCATTTTCAGCTATTCGCAACACCCGTAATCTCTTCAGCGTGGAGAATCCTCTAGGTGGAAGTAACACAAGGTGATTCCTCGAAACATCGAGGATCTGGATATCCAGTGAACATGAGGCAGGACCCGACGACCTCTGATCCGCGTTCACCAGCACTGACTGCGGTTGTTGATAACCGCTCTCGCGAAAGCCAAGTTCCGTAACGTCCTGAAGTCTGTTACCGGTGACATTGAGATAGACCAAGACAGCGAGAGAGCAGAATATTCCCTCGGGAAAGGACCAGATATTATTTGAAGCTAGATCGAGTCTCTCCAATTGTCCAGCTGCCGCGAAGGCTTTTGGAGAGAGCTCCAGACTGAACGCAGGATAATCAACATTACGAGTCCTGATGGTGAGATTCCGTAAATTCCTCAAACCCTCCAGAGCATCGGAAGGCCAGCTGGACAATTTGCAGTCATCCAATCGAAGTTCTCGAAGATTATGCAAGTGTGCAAAACTACCGCCAGCCAGACTACTTTTAGCCGGTACGTCAGGATCGCACTCCAATCCAAGAATGGCTGTTCTCTCAGCTGGTATAAGACTAAAGTTGGTAGTGTCAAACTCGCTGTTGATTGACCTTAGACTGCAGCTTAAGGATACTTCATGCCCAGTACCAAGGGGTTGCCAGGAGCAATCCTCGGGTGCTGCGTATCGTGACGTCTCAGCAGTCCCGTCACCAGCAACGAGACAAACGACGACATTACAGCCCATAAGTAAGCAAACGAATGTCCTGCCTGTCAGGGTCATCCTGAAGTTACACTTCACAGTCTTGAGCTTATCACATCCCGTGTCACGACTCGATTTATCCTGCGGGATAGCAATCCATCGCTCATTCTAGAATACAAAACTGTTAACACACCCTCGGTCCCTACATTTGCGACAGATCTCAGTGCCTCAGTGACGAAACCTCACTAAAGTGGGAGAAATAATTCCGACCGACGGGGCGGAATGTTATCCCGTGTAACAGTGCAATAAGGTCATTAACTTAATCATGTTATTTAACGTCAGAAACACACAAAGTCAATGATCTGCCGACCTGCACGGCACGACGCGCTGCGCGATACTGACTATCCAGAGTGAATCCCGCTTAGTGTGTGTACACGGGGGACACTTTGTGATGCCAGTGACTAGCCCTGGTCGGTAACTTTGCCGACGGAGTGGGGATGGCTCCCACCCTTACCGCTACCCAACGAACATTCCCGAGACACTCCGGACATCCACGACGTATACCCGGCATAAAATCCAATATACCTAAGAAAGGGTCTAAGTTTCCTCTTTCGCATCAGCCTACGATCATATTTCTGCGAGATGCCAGAATCCAAAGGTTTGGATTGGGACGAGCATGCGGAATATTGCTTTGCGCTTGTTCTGCCTTCTATTTCAGTCTCATTCCTTTTTTCGCCATCCTTTTTTTCATCTTTTCTCTCGTGTTTCTTATTGAAGAATGATGGATTCTGACTTCCCATCCATTCTACTCTTACACTAGGATATTTAAATAACGCCGTGGTACAGGGTATGACAATACTTTTGAACGAATATTGTTTTACGAAAATCGAATATAATTAGCTGACGCAGTATTGTTATTATAATTAACTTCAAGTTTTTAATTCTATTGTCAATATCACAGGTTTCATTAGAAATGTTAATAAAGGTTTGATCGAAATGACGTGACAGTTGGTTCTATTTGGGTATCGTCTGGCATATACTGGGTGCCGTTTTTAATTCGATAAAAATTAATAGAGGAAATTATATGTTCATAACGTGACTCCTTTATTTTTCCTGTCAGGGTGAATCACTGACTTCTTCACCTGTCATCCTTACCTGAATTCTTGCCTGGCCACCACGCACACCTAACTGCCACTTATATCTTGACAAGGGAAAAAAAAGAAAAACTAAAACAGACAACAATACTTCATACAATCGAGTCAGACCGTAGAAATAAAAAAGAAAATACTCTATCAAAATATCTCACACAAACCATAGAAAATGTAGTAATTTAAAATGGTTACCCCATACCGTGATGATGTTACAACAGTCTCGTAATTACGATCGAAATTTCGTTTCCTACTATGTCAATTGAATGAAATTACCTTTCGAAAAGAGAATTTCTACGATTCTCAAAAAAAAGAAGTCATTGCTCATCGTTACCCATAAATGAAACCATAAATAACCCGATGCTTTCTCGAAGAGATAAAGAAAAAGGAAAATAAAGAAGTAAAGAAAGGAGAAGAGCAGTTAGTCTCGCTCCGATACCATTGTGACCAAGACATCGGTTCATTTCGATTCGAGATTTCGCATCCGGTCAGCGTGGTCTTCCAATCAGACTTTGACAATGGGAAAAATCGTTAATTTTTTTTCTTTTTCTCTTTTTCTTTCCCTCCTTTTCATTCTCCTTTTTTTATACTACCTTCTAGCCCTTCCTTCGACTACTGGCTCTTTCATGCTGTGTGATTCGTCGAGAATTCCACGAAGGCAGATGCCTGTCGAGTGCGCGTCGGCAAAGGTGCCAAACGAATAAATTGATCCCCTGGACAGGATCGAATTTCCTTCCCTGTGGGAGGCACCAGGCCCTGCTTTTGGGTCCATTTGACTTTTGCACCCATCAACATTTCTATATGATATTTGCCCCTTCTCATCTCCAGTCTTTTTCTAAATTCTAACCTTCCCTTGGACACCCTAATCACCAAGCTGTTGGAGTTGACTGGCATCTCCGAAGGAGATGCCAAGGGAGGGAAATGCCACGAAACATACATATTGATTTGATTCGAGTAATTTCACAAAAAAGCTTTCACTCCAACGTACAAACAAAATTTTAATGTGTAACTATATTTTTAAAAAATCTTTTTTATTTCCCAACACGCATTCTCGTAATTTATACAAAATTATATTGTAATTTTATGCAACATACGAAAAGCATCCACGAAACCACTTGCTAATTTGAAACTGAACAAGAATTCGGCCTTTGCGAAAAATCGATGCAGCCTGTTTTACGAGTTGGGACACGCACGTGTTATTAGTGTCAGATTGACGAAGACGAATGCACGTTAAACCGGCTCGATCGGATTGACACACAAAGGCATATTGTCAGCCTGGCTGAATTAGTGGCCGCAACTTTTATTCTGTGCTCGTGCTCGTGCTCCTCCCAAAGAGTTGCCAGCGTTCGCCTCTTTGGTATATCCAGAAAATATCTCTTTAAATATACTAGAACTTTGCTAGTACGATTAACAGGGAACAAAGAAAGAAGTATTTCATCCCCGTATCTCAATCCTCTGCGCATTACCTACCGTAAATCACTTTCGAATATCTAGTATCAATATTATACGTATACCGGATGATAGTATTACACTGAAACAATACTTGGTATGACTATTGAATTTAGAAAGTTCAAATAAAATTGGAAAAGGGCAAAATGGAGACCACGTATGAATTTACTGAGTAAGACAAACCGTAGATATTCTCGTACTATTTTGTCATCTCAAGATACCCATATACTATACATCTGTTCCGAGATATATTTCGACTTCGTGGAATTAATATTGGCTATTGTTATTATTACCTAGAACTAGAAATTATCAGAAGTTTCACAATGAACGAGTACGCGAGTTCACGTAGGACGGAGCTGCAAGACACTGAAAGGCGTTGAACAGGTTTTTGCATCGTGTTGGACCAATTAATTAGTCGGGTTTATTACATGGACCTGAGATGAACGTTGTTTCGGATCTTCCCCAAATTCGCACTAACCTTTTCCCTATCTCACCATTTCTCTCTTTCACCGTTTTGCTCTTTCACGCGAATTACCTCCCCCACCCACCTTTCTCACTCCTCTTCGTTATTGCTCCATTCTCTTCTTCCTTAGTCGAGCAGTTACGCGCATTGTCGGCTCGTTTGTATTTAAATTTATATCGCAAGGTACAACCTACTAGAAACGCCCACCTATTAATTTTCGAAGAAAAACATGAAGAGAGCAGAAAAGAGTAGCTGCGAGACGAGAATATTTATGAGAAGGTATCGTGTTCTTGAGAAGATAAAACCTCTTTTTTTAATATGGTCAGTAATAATTATAGGAAAAATCATTGTGAGTCATTATTGATCTTGAATGTATTTTCCATTAAGAAGAATGTCCTTAATAAATTAGAAATTGGAGAGAAAGGCTATCGAAAAATTATTTCTTTATATGATATATTTTGTGTATACGTACAATGTATGTGCATTTTTTTATATTTTGAAATTGCGTCATGTATACATATTTAAGTGCGATTAGAAAAATTGTATTATATCCTCCTTGCTGCAAATCGATATCCAGACTTTAAAATGTCTTAACCCACAAAATTTTCAAAATTCAAGACAACAGGTTTGATAATTAATGTTCTTTGAGAATCAAAAGTTTTTTGTCTCCTGTGAAAATTTCATAATGGTTTTTCACGACATTTTAAAGTTAGGGTATCACAGTGATTATATAAGAGTTACATGTCAGGTGCAACTTTACATAAATTTCATATTCGTGATTGTACTGTCCTATCCCTTTGTTAAGATCCTAACAAATCATGCTAGAATGACACGAAAAGGAGAAAAAACAGGTCATACAATTGTTATATTTATCTGCTATACAAAATCTATCTAATTTCATAATAAAAATCTTGCACTTTTGCCAAATGAAACTGAACAAAATTTATACTCCTGAATCAATACTCCTGAATCACCCTATATACTATACATATATCGTTCAGCTTGAGTTGTTCATGATTACCTGATGTGTTGGACTTGAACACAAATATCTGTTTGCAATATAAAAAAGAATGTAGTTACTTACATTTAGTACGTTGCATTCCGCTTATACAGTAACGGCGAAAAAATGCATAATTAAAAAATAAAACTGTGTCATGTTCAGATAAAAAATGTATATGAATAATACAATACACTCTAGCGAATTTTAATGAATGCCCACATATCGTTCGCCCAAATTTCATGGAAATACAAATTTGCCTACTGCCTTGTAAAGTATAAATTAGTAACAAACCACACTAACAAACCGTTTTATTATATCACACTAAAAATAGATAACAAGAGTGTGCCCGCTATACGGTAATGCAGTTGCCTGATAGCTATATACATATGGGTTTTAATGTAATTTACCTGCGGCCCATCGTTAACGTGATCATTACGTTGGATCATTACGCAAGTACAGATTAATAAACCGAACTTCAGTTTCGTAAGGTACATAACAATGGAAGAAAAATTCTGAGTTGGACGTCGAAATGACGTCGTTACGATATTTTTTCTTTAAGACTATTTTAAAGACCCTATTGCATCACATCCATTGGTCAAGGAATCTTTAGGGGATCCCGTGGAGACGAGATACCAAACTGTGAAACTACGTTAGGTTTCACTAGGTGCAATTACTATAATGAACACGCACTAGTCATTAATGTTTCTATCGAAATAAGATCAGCCGTATATGTATAATTGAAAAAATAATTTGTTTATAAATATTGCTGACCTTGAGTAATTATTTATGTAGAATGACTATGCAGATCGTTATAAAGGTATCGCATATTGTGTAGTTGTACAGTTTATGATATAATATAGTGCTATCGTTATAGCCACTTACTGACCTGTTCGACAATTTCTATCGCAGGAAAGTATATATGTCCAGGCTGATTGTTTATAAAGAATTTGATTAATCTCATTAGAGGAAATTGGGTTATGCATCTTTTTCAAGCGTTCCCGTTAAGCGAACATAAATGTGTAAGAAACTACGGGGCCCCGGAGGACTAAGTACGAGTTTGGCTTGGTGCTTCGGGAAATATTACGTCGTCGAAATATTTGAATAAGTAATGTAAAACAAAGTAAAGCATTTTAAACATTTGAAATTTTTTCAAAGACTAGGTAAATGTTTCGTTCATTAAAATGTCTAAACAATAAATTAAAAATACCTTAATTTTTAATTAAAATTTTTACGAAAAGCAGAGTTTTGCACCAACAATTTCTTATTGAAAATTCTTTTCGCGTACTGACGGAACAGCACAGCGCAAGTACGCAAGTTTCGTTCTAACGTCTTCGCGATCTTAATGGCAGCAGG